ATAAATCGATTTAAATAATTAAATACACATAATTTCAATTAAATAAATAATATAGAAAATCGGGGTGTAAACGTTTGCCCTTTAGAGATTTTGAAGCGGGAGGAGGGTCCTTATGAGCCATCAGAAAGTCGCTAGGTAATAGAAGAGGGTGGGCAAGCAGGTGGTAGATATGCCTCTCTTGGACATTCTCTATGGAATAACCTTATTGTCGCGGCGCGAAAAATAACCTGGAGCGCTCACACGATCGAGATGATGACAAAGTTACCACCGAACTTTATATATTCCAAAAGAAAAGGGAAATATCAATAAAACCCTTAAAACAAAAAAATGGTCATCGCAGCGAAATTCGGTTTCAGGAATCGATTATTCAAATGGAAGTTATTAACACCCCTCACATTCGTTGTCCTCAACGGGAACGATTAAGTTAGATTTGCGAATATAATTTTAACTTATGAAATTTGTTTCCTTTTGATTATTAAAAGTGTTAAGAGAAAATAGAAAGGTCACAAAAAAGGGTTTTTCATGGTGTTTGACAAGATTACGGGCCTTGCTCTTACGTATCCTCAGGTGCGATGAGGAATTTAAAGTTACATAGTTCTTTCTAGAAAACCACGTATTTGTTGGTTGATTCTATTGAACGAAAGTTTAGTTAACATTTTAGCAGTCAAACGTTGCTTGTATGCTCGTAATTGGAGGCTTAAATATTTGTTTGTATAGCGGTAGCATAAACTTAACAATATTCTTTTGTGAAAAGGTTTTTTGATCACACGGGGGCGACAAAATACAAATTCGATGTGTTGAATTGTTTTTAGGAGGACGAAGAACGCTCAGTAAGACCAAGATGTTTGCCTCAGGGACGATTATTCGAGGTTTCAAGAAGTGTGTACCCCAATGTACCTTTTTCATCCAAAGTGTTTTTGAAATTTGTTTGCAGAAGAAGAACGTTCAATAAGACCAAGAAGTATGCCTCAGGGCCAATCGTTCGGGAATTTCAAGGAGTGTAAACTCATATGTCCCTTTTTCATCGAAGTTTTGTTATGTGTTTTATAATAGAAGAAGAGTACTCGATAGGACCGAGATGTATGCCCCAGGCCGATTATTCAAGGTTTCATGTAGTGTATACTCTAATGTTTCTTTTCTTTCGATTTTCTTAAGGAAAATATTTTGACAAAGCGTTTCAGTTGAAAAGAAGTTGATGGAAAATATGCGTCTTGGTTCATATTTTGAAATGTGTTTGAATTTGATTTTCAAAAGTTCTTGATGTTGATAAAGACTTTTATTATAAAATACAATTGATTTTATTTTGTTAAAATGATTTTTATAATAAAATAAAATAATAATAAAAAGAAAAGAAAAAATAAAAAGGAATAAAATAAAGGGAAGTGAGGGTTCAGAAAATAACATGGGGGAGATGGCAAGAAATGAGGGAACAAGCCAAATTTAGCATGGGTTAAAGGCCCAACACAATAAAAAAAACACAGTAAAAGAGAAAATATGGAAAGGCGAAAAGTATAGAGGGCCCAACATTGGCTGGCCCAAAAGCAATCTGACTCAGGTCAAGAGAAATAGGGAGTCAATATATTTGAATCAACCTCAGTCTCTTTGTGTTATGGCCAACAGATCCAAGTGCTAGAAACAATCAAGCGTGTGGTAACAGGTGGGGGTCCCCTCATGGGACCTTAGGTCTAACCAAAAATTAAGCACATAAAATGGCCTTAAGGGGCCCCACAAGTCTGGGACGATTGTGATGAGGGAAATAAAAAAAGATATGAAGAGCCTCACGTGCTCATTTCCCACTTCTCTCTCTCTCTCTCTATCTCTCTCTCTCTCTAACCTTTAATCCATAGTCATCGCGTTAAACACTTTAACACTCTTATTTCACCCTAAAACAAGATCAACACAGTGGTTCTTCAAGAACACTTCATGAATATCATGAAGATGTTTGCCACAAAAACCCATATTTCACCACTGCTCGTCAAATCCAAAAATAAGCAAAAAAAACCTTCCTAAAATCGAACTTATGGTTCTAACAACAAAAACACCAAACAAGCAAACCTGAGCTCGAGTCGGGCTCGCCCCCGTTAAAACCATAAGTCCCAAATCAATGTTGAAATGTCCAAGTTACCACGAAGTTTCAACATTAAACATGCAACAATGGATAAAACGACAACAATTAGCACGAAAAACTACGAAAATACTTATTTGGATACCTCATGAGACGTTGCATTGGAAAATATAGTTCTTTGGGATAAAATTGTATGGATATCAAATAAGGAAACTCTAATTTCTAACATTAAATGACAAAATGAAAATTAAGGATCTATAACCTCTATATAAATAGCTTTAGTGATATTTTTTATGAGTAACAAGCATGAATTAATTCTTATATACAGACTACTCTAGATACATGATAGAAGGCATTTCAAGTTCATTGAGCTTAAGGCATGAAAAAAAAACATGTCATCTACAAAGACGACAATGGAGGTAAGATACTAGGAGAAATGGTAGGAAATTACTTTATAACTACAATTGAAAATGTATTATATGTGAGGGGATTACATATAATTTATTGAACACTAGTCAATTGTGTGATATAGACTATAAAATTAGTTTTAACTCTATTGGCAGACTACGTACATCCTCTAGGACCAGATGATCATGGTTCTTTGCATAAATATCTCTACGATGCATTGTAGGAGGTATAACAATGATGAGGGCTCTAGGAATATCCTACAAATACTAAAACTAGCGAATGAATCGCTCTAGTAAATGCCAATACATCAGTCGTGACCCACAAGTTAGCCATTTGGAGTATAAGGATATGTTATCAAAGATGCACATCTCAAGGTTATTGTTGTATAATGTGAAGTTTATATCATCTACTGCTATGTAGTTAAGATAAACTCTAAACGACCTGATCGCCTGATTCCCTTTGAGCGAGATGAAATAGAAAGCATGTGGTAAATCCTTAGAGCAATGATCCATATATTCCTTTCCAGGGTGTGGAAAGTGTTGGAGGATCCATACTTAAAAATTATACAGATGAAATATTAGTAATGGTGTAGCACAAGTGTTATGAAATATTAGTAACAGTAAAAGTGCAAATATATTAATGTAAATAGGGGGTAGCTTGCCATGAATATAGACGTGTCAACCAGATACAAGAGGTATGACCTAAATGTGCATACTGTATGATGTATTACATGTGCATCATCACCATCAGCCTCAATCGCTGCATCCAGGTGGTATTTATACAACCTCTCAAAATATCCAAACCTGGCATGAAATCCTTTGGTGTCATCCATCTTCTACTGGGCATCACTAGTGTCACCACCCAAATATTGCACCATCATATATAGTGCCTCAGATCTAGTCGGTCTTAAGTAGTTTAAAATTCTCCCCCTAATTAGAAGATGTAGGAAGGATGACATATCATCAAGTGTGATAGACATCTAACTGATCGGAAGATGGAATGAAAAAGCCTTTGAGTGACATCTCTCGATGAAAATAGATAACAAACCATGGTTAATAAAAATATACCCTGATAAATCTTGCACCCATATAACTGCACGCCATTTGTAAACCATAGTTCATCAAGCCGCAGCATCCTCACAATCTTCCTACTATGATAGATACATTTCAATGAATCACGGTGTTATAAAAAAATACATCAACGTTAGAATGTTCAAATCTTATAACACATATGTTTAAATGAATAAATACATATTTATCTTATTTCTCCATCCACACATGCCTGACAACATGACATGCATACAAACAAAGTAGTGACGGGCTAGAGAGACCTTCTGGATATACATTAGGAACGACAATAGAAGGTTGGACTTCTAAGGAGTCAGGGGTCGTAAGAGGGAAGTCATGTCTCTAAGAAGGCGATGTTAGATACATGTGACTCTAGGAGATAATACTTCAACATTCAATGAAGTGGTACCAACAGCTGGACGAGATAGTCTAACTTTTTCCCTCTTAACAGAAGCATGCTAAGACATTCTACCATACTTGAATCTATCTATATTGTCAGACATTTTACCTATAATTAAACCAAAAAAATCTTATTATAACTAGAAAATTCAAATCCATGGGACAAAATAGGTAAAATTGAAAAAACAAAAGCAGAACAACAAAACTCAATCGTTAACTTCCACATTTCAGAACAACAAAAATAAAAAGTTAACTTTCATATTCTCCTAATCCCAAAATTCAAAGAAATAGAGCATGCTCAAAAGCTCTAACTTCAAACTTTAAAAAAATCAAGATGCATTTTAAATTCCGATTTAACTCTAAAATAAAATGAAAAAAAAAAAGAGAGAAAAAGTATTGCACTTCGTAAATTATAAAAAACTTAACCTCTTTATATATATTCTTCTATATTCTAGTCTAAATCTGATACTTATCTCTCATTGCATTTTTGATGCATCTGAAGTTTAAATTCTAAATTTTAGAGGCATTATTGGTTTTTCAATAAACAGCCTGAGCACAAGTGCCAAAAGTAATCCCCTAAACGATTATATTATGTGAATTGAATCTATGGATATAGGCCCAAATTTAAGTGAGTGTAAGAAGTGTAAGGCCCACTTAGCCCATTATCGCCGTTTTCCTCCGAAGCTTCCTTTCTTTCCTCTCATTCTTCTTCTGCATTTACTCATCTCCGAGGTAAATTTTCATTCCATTCTTAGTTTCTTCTTATGTGCGTAACTCTTCAAGTTCATCATTTTTTCAAATCAATCTAACTAGTCAAATAACGCCTTCCATTTTCATCATTAGAAATCATAACTTGTAGAACTCAATTCATGTTTTTGCTTATATTGTTCTCTTCAAATTGATTTGGGATTAGGGTTAGTTTATGGAACATGTCATTGTCGCATTTATTAATTGATTTGAATTGAATTGAATTGAATTGATGATGTTTCATTTTGTGCAGATTCTTTGAAGGTTCATTCATCTTGTGCTGTGTGCTTGCTCAATTTTGACTAGTAATCATTATGGCCTATGATATTGATGAGATCAAGAGTAAGAACTTCAATTTGAGTGTGAATGTGAATGAATCTCACTGTCACTGCATTGGTCAATCTATCACATTTATGTTTTGTTTCATATTTTCTTTGAGTTTAGTGTTTTTGCTTTGTTTGTTCTGAAAGTTTCAACATGTAACACGCGTTTAGTACTTTATCTTCAATTTTGATAGTTAACAGAGTCAAATATGTGGTTTTGATTTTGAGGAATGTATTTTGACTTAAAAGTTTATCATCAATTTGGATGGTTAATTAAGCTTAGTAGATTGTCAATGAATATAACCAAATGTCGCAATTCTTGATCCATTCACTGAACAGAATAATTAACCACGACTTTGAATGTCATTAACCATAATTTGTGTGGTTCATAGTATACAAGATTGAAATTGTAGTAACCAATATTTGAGTGTTTTAATTCTTTGGTCAAGGATCAGATTCTTGGCCGGTGTGTATGAAAAAACATATGTTGGGAGAGGTCAACTCCTAAGATGGACCTCAGTTTATCTCGAGTGATTAGTCTCTACAGTTGCTTAGGGATATACCTTGGTTTACCAAAAAATATTGTGGTTAGTTGTGTTAAGTAGATGGTTAGTGAGTAGTGACGCCTTGCTATGTATGTTAACTATCGACTGAACGTAATAAACACATACTTGTATTGTATTAACTGTTTAAATTGATGTCAAAATTTGATGCCAAATTTTCGTCAAAATAGCACAACTCTTTATTTTCTTGACAAATATTAAGCATTTCTGACCTTAGAAAATTTGACAAACATGCAGAGATTGGCATAGGGCTAATTGGTTTTGGCATCTTCTTCACGTTTCTTGGCATAGTTCTTTTCTTTGACCGTGGTTTACTTGCTCTAGGAAACGTGAGACTTGCTTCAAGGATCTAAATTTTCTTATATTTTTCTTTAAGATAGTGACTGTTATTGACTTAGTTTTGGTTTTGGCATCTGGAATCAGATATTTTGGTTGGCAGGGGTTGCAATTTTACTTGGTTGGCGTTCCATGTGGGCACTCTTCACTAATAGAGCAAACTATAAGGTATAGTGAATGTGAATTTTTCTGCCCATTAATAAACCATTTGCTTTCCCATGCCCTCCTTATCCACAATGCTTCTCTTGTGATATAGTGAATACTAGTAGGATGTTAGTCAGACGTTACAAAACTGTTTTACATGTGTTTTACCTACGTAGCACAGACACGAGTAACGATATATAAGAAAGCAAAAGTGATTGAATGTAACTACATTTGTCAATGTCCGACACTGACACGTTTCAAACACTAGACTTGTCAATGTCTGACACCGACCCGTTTCAAACGCTAGACACGCCTTTAATCGAACGTGTCGGTGTTGCATTGTGTTTTGCGCTAAGGATATTTAAAGGGAGTATTGTTGTAGTGATTAACTAGAAATACAAGTTTGACTCGTGCTAGGTTTCTTTTAGGAGAAACAATAGAGAAACAGAGTTTATTTGCCCCTATAGTTTTATTAATTGAAAAATTAAAAAATTACATAGGAGAAGATACTTTCCTTACGCCGGTTTCAAACCAATCAAAACTAAGATTTGCCAAAGATCATTTCAAAGGGAAATGAAGTCCTTATTTGTGATAGACTTTTTCTACATAAGGACAGGGGCAAAGGATCAAGAGCAACTGCCTTAAACCGAAAAACAACTAACAAACTAACATAAGAGACTACCAAACAAATAACAAAAATAACAAAAAACTAACTAACTACACTACGGCTACATTTCATTTCTAAACTTCGTCGAGCGATAATTGCATTGTTAATCTTATTCCTATCAAATTGTCGAATGAGCCTCTTGAAATTGCAAGGTAAGGCTGCCTTTAAAAATTGCGATGGAAACTCTTTCTTGAACCCTGCTATGATGGGATGGGAGCTCTAAAGCACTTGGTTGCCCTTTTTGATGTATTAAAGGAGTTTAAGTTATATGTTGTTCTAACTAAGATTAAGTCATTAAAAGATAATAATTTATATTAAATCAAAATATAATTCTCTCATTCTTTGAATTGAAATTTCCTCTCTAGATCTGCTAAACTGGACAGATTAACTTTGTATATCACATCAGTATACGAGCTTAACGTATGATAGTTTTGTAAGCAAATCCAACGAGTAGACCCCCTTGACAAGAAGCATCTTCAGTTTTTCTGTCTTTGTATTTGTGTTTTACGACTTTGTATATCTGTATGAAACTGGTACCAAACATAGAAATATTAATGAAACAACTGACTTTTATTGAACAATTCTGGTTATGGTGGCCAGAATTTGGATTGCAACAGGAAATCTAGTTTACAGAATTACAAGAGAGAAAACGAATGAAAATTAAGATCAACACTTCCTTTCCAAGAAATTTGAGAATATTGGTCTCCCTTCCGAGAGTTCGAGAGTTTGGTCTCGCACAATCAATATCCAATCTTAAAATAAAACACCTACTGATTTTTCATTCCGGACTTCATTCATTTTCCTTTGAGTTTCCAGCTGCTCAAGCCTCTCGTGTTCAAGGCTTTTCCATATTTTTTCCTCATGGATAACAGCACCTCATACCAACGTTCCAGAATCCCCATGCGCGCCTTGTGTTGGAACCATCTAATAATCCCTAAGATCTTACAGCTCTAGCACCAGTTGATTGAAACAGATACCAAACATAGAAAAATGAAAGAAATGAATGCTTTTTATTGAACAATTCTAGTTACTGTTGCCAGGATTTGGATTACAACAGGAAATCTAGTTTACAGAATTATAAGAGCAAAAACAAAAGAAAATTAAGATAGACACTTCCTATCCAATAAATTTTATAACTTCTTTATGGATGGACAATGAAGCAATCTATATGGAGATAAATAACATTATTTACCTCTTTTGTAGGGTTCTGCATCATTTCTTCTAGGCCTCTTTCTCATTTTTGTGAGGTGGCCAATACTTGGTATAGTAATTGAAATATACGGTTGTGTTTTTCTCTTCAGGTTAGTCGATGGCTTCTTCTTGAACTCTACTATACTACGAAATTTATCGTTATTAAGTTATCATTGATGATTTTGATTGCAGTGGTTTTTGGTCGTCTGTCAAAGTTTTTCTCTATCATATCCCAGTTGTTGGATGGATTATACGGTTTATTGCACGTAAGTTTTTTCTATAGAATCCCCCTTTGTCTCTCTCGACCTTTGTCCCCCCCTTCTGCTCTCCCACTTTGTGTACGTCTGCGTGTCTCTCGATCCACATATATGTATGGAAATAACTATTTCATGATTTATATATCTAACTTATCATTCCTTTCTACTATTTTGCAGCTCCTTGATTGTTACAGCAAGAAATTTTTTATTTTCGCCTTCTAGTCTATCGCTAAAAAGAAGGTTTGGTTACCTTGGTATTAGCAACTTTTCTGAAATTTGTGTTCAAATGTATATGATGATGCTTCAAAGCTCATAACTTCCTTAAGTTGTCAATGTAAACAAGAACAAAGAACTAGAATAGAAGCCGATTATGTTGAATCGACGGTAAGTTTGACAGAATTACGGTGTTCCATGGTGCTTCCTGCAAAAACTACAATTTTGAGTTTCAACAAGACAATGCGATTATGTGTGTTTAGGCCAGCATTCGGGGTTGACAGTTAAATGTCTTGTCAAAAGTTAACGTTTTAATTAGTCTGTGAAGTTAACTTCTTTTTTATTTGTTGTAAAACTGTTTTGTCTCTAAATTGTTTATTATTTTAAAAATGTTGTTACCATTATATTCTTTCTACCTTTGGCTCAGCTCAATTGTGTTTTTCCCGAACACCACTTTATTGTTACAGGTTGCATATATATTATTTATGAATATATATTGTTTATGAATATTTTTTTTGGTTAAATGAAAGTCAATAAAATAAAAAACAAATACATTTTTAATCGGTGCAACTTCTGAGGTTTTGAAAATGTCTATAAATTTGAAGGTTTTAAGGGTTAAATTGGTTTTAAAAGGGTTTAATAGACGATTGTTTTGAAATTGAATAACGTAAACAACAATTGAATTTAAAATACTTTTAAAAAGTAAAAATCGGTGAAATTCAAAAGATTGAAATATAAATCACTTAAAGTAAATAATTATATTGTAAGTAATTTGAAAGTAAATTTGCAGTAGTAATTAAATGAATGTATAATTATACTTGAAATAAAATATTGAAACAAAAGTAAATTGTTCAAAGTTAAATTACATAAATTGAAAGGAATTTAAATATGAAGAAGTATATAATGTTCTTGAAAGTTTGAATTTGTTTTATTTTTTTTAAGAATATATTTTAAAAATTAAGTGTGTTTGATTTGATTTTGTAAAATTATTTTTTAATTTTAAAATTTTGAAAATAATAAAAGTATCTGGTAGTTTAATTTAATAAAATTATTTTTAAAAACTATTTTTGAATTAAAAGTTTTAAAAATTAAAAAATTAAAATAAATTTTAGAGATTTTGGATTTTAGTTTCTAGTTTTGAAAATTAAAAAGAGAAAAAAAATTGATACATTTTTCATTAATATCAATTTTGTAATCTATAACTATATATAAAGGGGATACAAGTTTTTGGTGTGGCTTATTTTTGTTCCAAAATTACCCTTCATTTTTTTTACCAACAAGAAAATAGTTTAATTTAAAATCTTGAGTGGTTAATAACTTTTGTTGGTTACCAATTGAAAAAGTAACTTCAATCTCTCACAAAAAAATATGTCACATATATAACTTCCATTACTACTAAGTGGTGACAGAAGTTAAAAATTCTCTTCTATTTTTTAATGTAAATTTCATCTCTTTCTCAATGAAAATACTTTTTTTTTTTAAATTTCCATTCTATAATATTTTCATTTATTCAATTTTAATTAGTGATCTTTTTATTTTTGAAAAATAGATGAAACTTATTTCCAGTCAAGATCGCTGCATGACTCCTGGCAGAAGAAGTCGTTCTCATTATGACTGAAAATTGATTGTTGTATGTAGATTTTTTTTGTAATTGCTTTTATAGTAATAGTTTTTGTATGACTTTTGTAATTGAGTCTTTTTTTAGAATTTTACCATTTACGAAACTTTCCTTTTTTTCAAAGCAGAGTTATTAACTATGGAGTAAAAAAAGATCATGTGATACTTGAAAAAATTTCATACTCTAAAATACAATAAAATTCAAGTATTTAATGCAACCACAATGGGTATGAGTGGTTTTCTACTGCACTATTATTTTCTTACAAAAATTATATCTTACTTTTGTTGCAAAACATTATTCATTAATACTATAGTTTTAACTTTTTTCTTTTGTTGTTATTATGTTTAATTTCTTAACGATACTTATTTGTATTTTGTGAGTATAAACACATCATAAAATATGTAATTTAGATTTTCATAATACAAACAATTATTTCATTAGTATTATTTTTTGAAATTGCGTGGTTTTTAATGGTGTTAGTTCTTTTGTTTTAAATTTTTATTTCTATCTTACTTTTGATTTGCTATTTTTATTGTAACTATCTATTTGCTATTTTGTTTTTTACTTTTGATTTACTATTTGACATATAGAATAAAAAGAGAGATGAGAAGAGGATATAAAAGTGTTACATATCAATTTCTCATATTAACATTTTTTTTGTTGAATTTTTTAATGAGCACACACATAAAAATATAAATGAATAAAAAATTCAATAAATTATTATCATTTTATTTTTGGATCTACATTTCATTTTTTAGATTCATCGTCTCATTTCTCTTCTCTTTTCTTTTTGAAATATTATGGATGACTTTAACGAAAGGTTGTAATATAATGATATAAAATGAAATCTATTTGAAAATCTTTCACAAACTTAATTGGTACACACAATTTTAATATTTCGTACATTGTTAACTTCCATATGTACTGTAGAAATAAAAACCATTTCCTCAAAAAATTATGTATCTTGATAAAAGAGTTTTAAAAATATTGTCACATTTATTAATACTTAATATACTGTTCAAATATACAATGAGAGTTGCAAAAATATATAACTTCCATTATTTTATCTTTTATATCTATATGTATGACCTTGCTATTGAACAAAACTTTAAGTATGAAAAAATAAAATAAAAATATTAACAAAAAAATTTATTGTGAATTGTTGAAAATTTGAACAAACATAAGGTGCATATCAAAAAATTTAGTATTCAAATAATTTAAATTTAAATCATACTTAAATAAAAAAAATATTCATTTATATTTTGACGTGTATGCTCATTAAAAAAAAACAAGCACGAGAAGAGTCGTGTGTGGAGCATACATGTTCGCAGGGGATGTACGTGTTGTTCAGTTTACTCTACAAACTCCTCTCTAAACACTTTCATCAAATTTATAAGAGAGAGAGAGAGAGAGAGAGAGAGAGAGAGAGAGAGAGAGGGAAGGGGGGAGAGAGGAATGCATATTACAAAGTTTACTATACAAATAATTTAAATTAAAATTAAAATTAAATAAAAAATATTCGTTCGTATTTTGACGCGTGTGTCGTGCCCGTTTAGACGCTATCAAGACTATGTGCCACAAGGTGATACCTGAGAGATGTTCCTCCTCAGGTATTAACTTTCATATTATCGCACATAAATTAACATAGTTAACCAATAAAAAGATGCAATAAAACCTGAAAGATCAAAGACAACAAATGCTCCACACACGATCAAAGAAAGAAATACATTCAAATATTACTTTTAAAGATGTATTTCTAATCCACCCAGGCCAGACCAAAATTTGAAATCTGCGGGTTAAGATGGTTCTCATTGAGTAAGCACAGCACAAGGAGATTCATTCAAAACATGTGACTTATATCCGCAATTGAAAGTTTTCTGTGCCCGGATCAAATCTGAAAAGCATTTTATAAGTCACATGTGAAATCATTTCTTTGATCTGGCCTGAGTGAGCTCACTTATACAGAGACACTCTTAGAAGGCGGTTAAAGTCACAATGCTCAACATGTGACTAGATCGTGTTTTGAAAGTGTAAATTGTAGATTTTTTTTATTTATAAGTTGATTATCATGTTTTGACTGGACCGTGTAGGCTTCTATAAGCCCTTTATCTTGGCTTGATTTCACTGCCTTTTTTTTATTATACTTGTGCTTTTTTTTTAATGTGAGTGTGTAACGAGCTTTGTAGCCCACGGTGAGTAATATGAACGATCGAACAAGATGCATAGACAATACAATAGTCTTCCAATTAACCTTTTGGTGACAACTTACATATGGTGATATGTCCAATCAATTCATTTTATGATGAAATATATATAAACTCGCCTAGACTCGGATAGTTCTTAATTCTCAAGATAAAGATCTCAGTTCTTAATCCTCATATTTGTGATGATATCGCTCTTGTGTCTGTCTGTCCGCTTATTTTTCTATGTTGTGCGCATTAAGAAAATATGCAAGTATAATATGCAAGTAACTTCACACATAATATACATACGTTTATTTTCCTATGCTGTGCGCATTAAAAAAAGCGGACAGACGGGCACGGGAGTGCCCATCTGAACGCTAGTTTATATAATTTTAAAACAATTTTTATAAAGAAAATTACCAAACTTTTTTTTTCAAAATTACTTTTTAAAAACACAATTAAAATTTTCATTCAAGAAAATCCTTATCTATTTGTCCTTTTGTGGAAGTATTAATGCTTAATACTTTTCTAGTCCTTTATATTTATCTCTGTTCATTTTAGTTATTCAACTTTAAAAAGACTGGTTTTATTTCTTATTTTTCTAAACTGCATCACTTAGTCCCTCCCATTTGCTCTATTAGTCAAAGTTTTAAAAAAAGGACACATGGCATATTCTTCACCGTTGAGTATGGATTAAAACATTATAACAAAATAATAATTTATAATCTAGATAATGTCTCCTTATTGTTCCATCTCTCCATCGCCGACAGATTTTGAAAGACTCTTGTTATTAGCATGTCGCTTGCATGACTGATTGCTACATAAGATTTGGGAGTTTCTAAGAAAGTCGTGTTGGAAGAGTTTGGCTTTAATAGGAGAGCTCACCTTCGTATGTCTTGGATTTGGGATAGGTACGAGGAGTTTGTTGCGGCACGAAGTTATGAGGTTGCTGCTAGGGTGTACATGCTACATCTAGTAGCATGTACTCTCTTTGCAGACAAGTTAGCTGTTTATATCGACGCCCGGTATATGTGACTGCTCAGTAGCCTTGACGTTACCAATTCAACTTGGAGGTGCACTATGTTGACCATCCTATATACAACACTTAAAGTGGTGACAATATTTGAGACTAAACAACTTGTTTTTTATTTGAGTCTATTATCGGTATACT